ATAGGGAGTGCCTGCGAGATGTACAATATCCCTCTCTTTACACCGATGCTGAAATTCGTCCGAGATGAAGCTAGTAGCATTATCAGTGTCTATGGTGTGTGGATAGACGAAATTAGTCAAATCTTCCCCCAGGAGATCAATGGTGGCTTTGGTCGCTGTAGATGTTGTCCTGTGGATGCACGGATACTTAGAATAATCATCTGTCATCACCAGCCAATGTGATCCTTTAAAGTTAATGGCATGATCAATATGCACTCGAGCCCATGGTTTTTCTGGCGGTATCCATGGGTGGATACTTGCTTTGTTTGGGTCTCTGGCTCGATCTGCACATGCCTGGCATGTTCGACCTATCTCTATGATTTGAGCATCAAGTCCGGGCCAATATACAGATAATGTGGCTAAGTGTTTCATCCGCTCGATTCCAAAATGTCCTGTATGCAGGATTTGGAGAACCTGAGCTTGTAGTATTTTTGGTACCACACTTCTTGAACCATAAAATAGACAATTCGACTCAACGGGGAGTGAGTCTTGAATTATTTTAAAAGCTGCTATTAGCTGCATCCTTGTTCAAGTGCGCTTTGTTTGTAGAGGACGGCCATCCCTCTTGACAATATCTCATTACTGTAGACACAGTAGAATCTTTAAGTGACTCTTTAACAATGACTCCTGGGTCTGTTAGTCTTATCTGTAAACTGTCTTGTTTGATCATACAAACAGAATCCATGTCTGATTCACTTTCTTCAACGTCAAAAATGTCATCAGGCCCTGAGGGTAGACGACTAAGAGCGTCCGCATTGCCATGTTCAGTTGACTTACGGAATTCAGTGGTATAGTCATATTGACTCAAGGTAAGAGCCCATCTGGCTAAACGATTTGCTGCCAGCGCTGGTGTTCCTTTTCCTGTACCAAATATACTTATCAGTGGTTTATGGTCTGTGACTAAAATAATCTTTTTTCCATACAGATATTGATGGAACTTTGATAGTGCAAAAATAATTGACAGTGCTTCTTCTTAATCTGACTATATTTGCGTTGTGCTGCTGTGAGAGTTTTTGTTAGCAATAGGGCGTTCACTGCCATCAAGATATCTTTGGAACAGAACACTTCCTATGCCAACATTAGAGGCGTCACAGGCTATGCCTATGTCTAGAGTCGGATCTTAGAGAACTGTATCAGTAAATAGCAATTTTTTGACTTTCCTAAAAACTTCTTCTTGTTCTGTTTTCCAGTTCCATGGTACGTTCTTTTTAGTTAAATAATAAAGTGGCTCAAGTACAGTTGATAGATCTGGTAAGAACTGTTGTAAAACTGTACTTGACCAAGAAATGACCGTAGACTGGAAATATCTGTGGGTGCTGGCATGGATATAACTGCATCTACTTAGGCTCCTTTTGATATGCCATTGCATGATAATTTATGCCCTAAAGATTCAACTGATTGCTGGGCTAAAATGGATTTTTTCATCCTGCACTTAAATCCATTTTCTTTCATTCTGTGTAATAACCTGCGACTGGCCACCATTTGTTATGTCTATTATGTTTTTATTTCCAACAATAAACATTAAGATAAATACATATATATACAAGTCCTCAATAATGTTGACTTTCTGCTTGCTTCCGGAACACGCTGTTCATCCACACACGCACTACAGTCTCTGCGCATGCGCACTGTTTGACCTAGTTGGCTATCAGGACGGGCTAGTCCACTATAACAGACCCATAGTCCATAACAAGACATCTATAAGAGTCCTATGGACGATAACAAGACAGCTATATGAGTCCTCTAGACAATAACAAGACAGCTTTTGAGTTATATAGACCATAATAAGACAGCTATAATAGTCCTATAGATTTAAACTAAACAGCTATGCTGCACAACTCAAAATGTAAGGCGGGCCGTATTACTTTATGAAAAACGTGTACGGGCCTTAAGAAAGTAGGACAAGACTTCTGCGGGCCAAAAGATTATAGGTCATGGGGAAAGATATTAAGAAAATAATAAGAATAAAAAAAATATTTGGTTACTTCGCGGAACCCAAAGTGGGTGCTGGCGGGCCACATGCAACAAGAAAGTTATATGAGTCCTACGGACGATAACAAGACAGCTATATGAGTCCTATAGACGATAACAAGACAAATGTATGAGTTCTATAGACCATGACAAGACAGCTATAACATGCGGCCCGCGGGCTACATGCGGCCCACCAGCAACCATTTGGCGGCCCGCGAAGTAACGAAATATTCTTTATTATTATTATTTTATTTTTAGCTTTTCCCCCGTCCTATCATCTTTGGGCCCGCACAAGATTTTCATAAAGTATTACGGGCCGCACAAGTTTTTCCATAAAGTATTACGGCCCCTCTTATATTTTGAGTTAAGCAGGCCTGCTATAGACCATATTAAGACAGCCATATTAGTCCTATAGTTTTAATGACATTACTTGTTATTCATCCAAATCTCCCAGACGTGACCGATTGACAGGCCTGCTATAGACCATATTAAGACAGCCATATTAGTCCTATAGTTTTAATGACATTACTTGTTATTCATCCAAATCTCCCAGACGTGACCGATTGACAGGCCTGCTATAGACCATATTAAGACAGCCATATTAGTCCTATAGTTTTAATGACATTACTTGTTATTCATCCAAATCTCCCAGACGTGACCGATTGACAGGCCTGCTATAGACCATATTAAGACAGCCATATTAGTCCTATAGTTTTAATGACATTACTTGTTATTCATCCAAATCTCCCGGACGTGACCGATTGACGCGCCCCGTCCTCTCCTGAAAAAAATACTGCGGGCGCCCATACTATTCGAAACCCGAGAACCTTCCAAAATGTAATCAACTCGGCCTGGCTGGGTTACACCACCAAGCAGACAACAGACACAGACCACGAGTACCACCGCACAATCAGTTCACGGTAAGGGAGCGATCAATAAAAAAATAGACTGGAAGGATCAAGTCAATGGACAGAGATCTATCGCGACCTTCCACTTAGATAGTTCATTGAAATGGTTTATCATAAATGGTTGTCCTGAATGTCGGCAGATTTTCATAAAGAGACCAGGGTTATGTGTTTTGGCAATGTGCCCCCAGCACTGGAGTTAACTTAAGGAACTATAAGAAATAAGGAAAACCCGGTCTCAACCGGGTGAAGCTTTTTTTACACCGTGTCGGATATTTTGGGAAAATACGCGGTGGTCCAAGTGTTACAAAAAAGGGAGTTACTTTCTCATTTTCTATCAACAATAGGCCAACAGACATTCCTACAAACAACCTGCCGGCCTTTCAATAGGCCAACAGACATTCCTACACACAACCTGCCGGCCTTTAAACAATAGGCAGACAGACAGCCCAAACCCTAGCTGCGGCCTTTAAACCATAGGCAAACAGACATTCCTACACACAACCTGCCGGCCTTTAAACCATAGTCAAAAAGACATTCCTACACACAAGCTGCCGGCCTTTCAATAGGCCAACAGACATTCCTACACACAACCTGCCGGCCTTTAAACAATAGGCAGACAGACAGCCCAAACCCTAGCTGCGGCCTTTAAACCATAGGCAAACATACATTCCTACACACAACCTGCCGGCCTTTAAACCATAGGCAAAAAGACATTCCTACACACAACTTGCCGGCCTTTAAACAATAGGCCAACAGACTGTCCTACACCCTACCTGCCGGCCTTTAGCCTTACAGGCAGTCCCACACCCAACTCGTGGCTCCTTATTGATTAATATATAGAAAGGAAAAAAATTGTCAACCTTTTTATCCGAGTTCAAAATTTTTTAGTTTCACACAGTAGTATTAAAATAAAATCTGTTGAGTAGAGGAAGGGCCGGTTGTGAGAATGAAGCAGGACACACCAGAAGCAAAACTACATAACACAGAAAGGCCTATTAAATCACCTCGTGAATTTCGATGGTGATCACGTGTCTAGTCACCTCGTATAACTCCACCAAAAGGTCAAGTGTCTAGTCACTAGTCACCTCACATAACCTCGACAAGGGTCAAGCGTCTAGTCACCGCGGATAACTCCACCAAAAAGTCAAGTGTCTAGTCACTAGTCACCTCACATAACCTCGACAAGGGTCACGCGTCTAGTCACCGCGGATAACTCCACCAAAATGTAACGAGTCTAGTCACCTCGTAAAATCCCTCCACCAAAGGTCAAGTGACTAGTTGCCCCCATCAGTGGTGGAGTCCTGAGATTTTCGAGTCTACACTTAGCTGAGTCGGATGCAATGTGCTGATGTATAAAACAAAACAATCAGGGACTGGAACCATCTTTCAAAAGGAACAGTTGAGGCGACAACACTAGACACATTTGTGTCTATTGCCTCAAGCCTTCATTGGGGATCACGTATTAAAGGAGTAGTGGTGGTCATTGTCTAACATTGCAAATCCCATCTACATGCATAGGAGCCAAAATGATCAATAAATTGATCGTGGGCCCTTAAGATATAGAAGAAGAAGAAGAAGAAGAAGAAGAAGAAGAAGAAGAAGAAGAAGAAAACAAGTGAGGGCGTCTCTAATACGTCCGGTATTCTTTTAAAACGAGCAGAATGTACATGACGTGCACTGTCTTATACCTACACTTCGGCACTGCTGACTATTGAGTTTTTAGTGTTTATCCCAAACATAATTTTAAAAAAAAATAAAATAATTAAACATCATTCATATTTACTCAAACTTAGTATTTTTGCACACTTTTATAACTATTTTTATCCTAGGCCTTGATGTACAAAACAACCAAAAAAACAACAGAACCGTGTTACTTTAGTTCATACTATTACCATCAGTCCCACACTATTATACATTTCTGATATTTGTGTCATTTCGGATAGTTCTACACAAGAGTGGCCCCTCAAACCTAAAGAATGTAGTGGAACCCCCCAAAAGGCATGATCACGTACCCCAGTCCAGGAAGTCAGAAATCGGTCCAAAGTTTAGTTCTACGAAACTTACTGATTACACAACAAGGTTATTCACAACGTACCCTGAACAGTGTTACAGCTTACTCGATTAGTGGTGGGCCAACCGAGCTAGAGATATTCGTGTAAGGAATCATTCAATATTCCTGGTCTTAGAGTAAATCATTTAGAGGTAAGATAGAAATAGAAACGTTGACAAATAGCCTATAATAAAGTTTTATTTTCACATTCTGTCAATATTTTTCTGTGTGTCCCTCTCTTTACACCATGCGCCCTGTGTGTCCTTCTCTTTACACCATGCGCCCTGTGTGTCCTTCTCTTTACACCATGCGCCCTGTGTGTCCTTCTCTTTACACCATGCGCCCTGTGTGTCCTTCTCTTTACACCATGCGCCCTGATGGTCTTTCTCTTTACACCATGCGCTCTGTGTGTCCTCTCTTTACACCATGTGCCCAATTGTCTTTCTCTTTTTATCATGTGCCCTGTGTGTCCTTCTTGTTACATCATGTGCCCTGTGTGTCCTTCCCTTCTCACTATACAGCCCATGTGTCCTCTTTACATCATGCCGCCTGTGTGTCCTTCTCTTTTCATCATTCAATAAATTACAGAACTATAAATGAATTACATACGTCTGTGACCAAACTTAGGAATGATACACATACTCACACACACATAAACGGAGACAAAACACACATATCAAACAAACACACTCCACACACACTCACTCACACACATAAACGGAGACAAAACACACATATCAAACAAACACACTCCACACACATTCACTCACACACACATAAACGGAGACAAAACAAACATATCAAACTAACACTCCACACACATTCACTCACACACACATAAAATCCACACACACATACACACACACACAAACACACAGAGCATACACACTTTGGCTACTCAGCATCATCGTCCTGTCAGCATGTGGAAATGAAATATTAATTGTGCACAGTGCCATAGTTATAACGAAAGTTTGGAATCTTGCAAAGACAAATACTTGCACAATTTTTTCCCCAGAGATTTTCAGTTTAGCTTGCATTTAGTTTCGCTCCAAATCGCTAGTCAGTTTTCTGTTATTATTTATTCAATGCAGATCCAATGTGCAATAACAAAAAAATAACGTACTAGTTGTATAGACATGCACTGTTTATCTCTCCCTTATGGTGTGGAACACATTTTATAAAATGAGAAGATAACTGTTTAAAAAAAAAAAATTAACCTGGACCCTGTTCCGTCTGGGTATTTCTGGGTGTGCTAATACTCGGCGTTTCCGGGAATCCGGTCAGTATCCGACTGAGCCCTAGTAAATATGTGTCGATCAAAAAATGAAAAGGAGAAAAAATGAAATGGACCCCGCTTGCATAATATTCCATTCAGATATTTTAAACCTTGAATTCGTAGCTTAGCACAAATGGTTTCTAAGAAACGTGTTTCCTAGCCACAAGCATTATCAATTTATTGTACTATAAATCTATTCAAGTGAATTTCTACTTTAACCACAATTGCATAAAACCGGAGTGACGTCACTGGCTTAGTATAGTATAGGGGGAAAAGGGCTTACATTTCTGTTAAAGAATTAATTTAATAGTTTTATTGAAACTGCGTGAGATAATGAAGTAATCGCATTAATGATTTTAAAGGTCTTTTGAGCAATTTATTTGTTTAATGTTTTATAAAAATTAAATTTATATTAAAGTTCGATTTAAAGATGGGTTGTTTAATAAGGTTCTAGAAATTAGCAAATGAGGGTGTAGGCGTCTCTACAATGTGTGTTCTTTATATAAGAAGGCTAGGTTACCGTGCAACCTTCTTCCTAATTCGGTGCATCCAGGCCAAACTTGGTAAACATACCCTTTCAAAACCCCTCTTACAATTTTTGATGGATTATAAACGTATAATATCCACATCTTTTTTTTTTTGTGCACGAGGGTGTTGATTTTACTATAAATAAATGGGCCCTAAATTTAATTTATGTTAAACTAATATTAAGGAAAAAAAATGAATTAACTATTTCTAAACCTTTCATTCAATACTTTTTTTTTACTCCAAGAAGAGTAGGAATGCCGGAAGCTAAGAGAGAGTCCCTCGTCCAGCAGAGACTTACAAACGAATGCTATTTTTGTAAGTTGGCCTATATAAGGATCATCCTACTGTATTCAGAAGATAAGGCTTCCCTTCTAAAGGAAGGCTGTAAGCCGATACTTTCTTATCGTATTGTCCTGACTTTCGATTCAAGCTTCCACATACCTATTATTCTTATATTTTATTCTCTTTTAAAATAGTTTAATTTACGTTTTGATCTGTGATATTCAATTTTGAAAGGATTTTAAAAATGTAAACCAATAGTATCATTAGCTGTCATGAAATAAATTTAAGCTCATTTGGGGGAGGGTGGTGGTGGGGTGGAGTTGGCGTATTGAGGACAATTGGCGTCCACGGAAGAACTACAAATGCACCTTATCAAGCTTGGGTAACATATTTTTTCTAAATAATTTCACAATAATTTGTTATAATATTATACTAAATATAGTCAGTAGCGTTTTCAGGTAGTGATGATAAGGGAGGGAATTTTTATTTTATTTTATTTTAAAATGACCCACACATCCAGAGGCCCTTAGCGCTAGACTAAACTGGGCGCCACAAACGTCACTGGGACTGCGACTTTCATCCGGGTTGGAAGCAGAAAATGTGAAGGCTGAATGCCTTTACCAGAAAACTTTTGAGAAATTCAAAACGCAGGTACGCATTTTTGTGCATACCGGACTTTCTAAAAATTATAATTCTAAACTAAATTGGAAAGTGGCGGTAGAGATGGTAGTAAATATAGGATTCCTGACCTGAAGAATTATACATTTTTGTTGTTACCTCACAGTAATTTGTTTCATTTTTAAAATATAATTCTTAAAATACTTTCTTTGAATGATTTTTAAAAAAAAAAAAGGAGTTTAAGAAAAAGCAACTCCTTCCGCTATATTCGCAAGGCCCGGGAACAAGACGCTAGTTAGATTTCAGTGTTACGACCACAAACCGGGTATAAGACGCTAGTTGAATCTGGGTGTTACTACCACAGCCCAGGTACAAGACGCTAGTTGAATCTCGATGTTACTACCACAAACCGGGTATAAGACGCTAGTTGGATCTCGGTGTTACTACCACAAACCGGGTACAAGACGCTAGTTGAATCTCGCTTTTACTATCAGAGCCCAGGTACAAGACGCTAGTTGGATCTCGGTGTTAGTACCACAGCTCGGGTGCACGATTCTTGTACCATCGCGGGGTTACTGCCATACAATTAATGGGTTAACTAGGCGGCTTTACGCATTTGAATAGCCCCCCCCCCCACCCCACCCCCAATGCATAGCCTGTATTTATTATTTACGCCACAAATTTCCCCCACAAGTTAAACCCATGCTTTTTTAAAAACTTAATTCAACAACATTTTTTTACACATTTTTTTGCTCCATCAAGCGACAAGAGTTATTTTTTGAAAAGGCCCAACTTTTTGAAGAAAAGGATATCATAGATAAAAGGCGCCGGCTATGCACAAACCCCTCACTAGTCACGCTACGGAATATTATATACCAGACAGCAGTTTTAAATAGAGCAGTGTCAAGATTTGTTTCAGCTCAATTAAGTGTTAAGCTGAATAGAATTTTTACATTTAGTAAAAAAAAAATAATAATAATAATTTGTGTACAGGTAGCAAATTTGGCGCCCTCTTCGAGTGACGCCCACGGGATAAGACGTAACTTTCCAGAACGTCGGTGCTCCTCTGCTGGGATTTTGGATTGATGAAGGAGGAAAAAAAAAAGGGGGGGGGACTTTTATTTAAAATTCTGACACCTACGCCCCTGTCGTATAATGTAAACATGGCTTGGCTCTAATACAAATAACGTGTTCTTCTAATTATTTCAGGCGAACGCATGCGATTGACAGGTCGAGAGGTTCCATTCTACCCGAGTCGGAAGCCTACAAAAAGCCAATGGGCGTTCTCACTTAAGAGTTTGTAAAAGCATCAACAATTTTTTATCTAAGGCACCTCCAGATATTATTCTTATATTTTCCTCTGTATCAGTCCAAGTTTTTTTTAAGCACAAAAAAAGGATAAGCAATCTGGTGAAACAGCAAAACAAAACAAAAAAGGGGTACTTTATTAGATTTTAAATGCCATCGCCTGGGCGAGTTTGTGTAAAAAGAGCCGAAAGAGGAAGGGGGCGTTCGGCCCCCAGGCGACACTTTTTAAACGTTAAATGGAGGCCCTTCATTTTCGGTGGACTGCAGAATTTATTGTAAAAGGGTGGTCGCACAAAACCCTGGCCCGTCACGGGTGACACTGATCATAGCTATGTCACTGGCTGTGTAGGAAGTCATCAGGGTTGTGGTTTCCTCCCTTCAGTGCTTGTAAGTTCTAATTCGGCTTCACAAAATAATGTTACAGTTTTGTATATCCTTTGACCTATTATTATTTAATAGTAATAATAATAAAGTTTATTTGAAAATCACGCTTCATCCCAAAAGGCTCAAAGCGCTGTACAAAGTCCACCACATTAAAAGAGAAATGGAAAAAAATATATATTATACCACTTTGAAATAAAAACGCAAAATTACAAAAACTACAGACGAGACAAACCCATTCTCGGTATTTAATCCCATGCAAGCATAAACAACTTGGCCAATATACATCTAGGAGATAATAGCCAGCTGGAAAAGATGGTAGACAACATCACCCCTGCATGTGTTTGCGAAATAGATGTGTTTTCAATTCAGTTTTGCAAGAATCCAGTTTCTGGCTGATTCTGAGAGCGTCAGGAAGTGTGTTCCAAATTGTTGAGTCAGTGAAAGTCCGCCCTCCGTAATTCTCAAGGCGAACACTCGGTATCGAGAGTTTGCCACTTTTTGATGAGCGGAGTTGTCTGGAGGGTATATAAGTCGCCATGTCGTTTTAGATAGGACGGTGCCAGGTCATGCAAGCAGCCGTAGCACAGAGCTGCAATTTTGTACTCTATGCGAGCGCGGACTGGCAGCCAATGCAACTCTCTCAGAAGTGTTTTAGCATGGTCGAACTTGCATTTGCGAAGAACAATGCGAGCACCATTATTCTGTGGTTTTTTGATTTTATCTAGGAGCGTAGCTGGAAGACCCACCATAAGAGCATTGTGCAGTAGTCCATGTGTGAGAGCACGAATGCAGACATCAACTTCTTTGATGCATCTAACGTTAAGAAAGGTCTGATATGACTAATTCTGCGCAGCTCTAGAACAATCGCCTTGCAAAGCAAGCTAATGTGATTTTACATAGTGTAGTTCTATCCAAATAGACACCCAGGTTTCGTAATGTTTGAGCAAACTCAAACTGTATACCTGAGAAAGTAAGGGATTTTAGCATTTGAGCGGTAGCAATGGGGATCAGCTCGGTCTTTTCATCGTTCAAATTGAACTTGTTTACGTTCCAGTGCTTTACTGACTCCACTGTCTTCTGTGTCATACTAAGAAGCTGAAGGAACTGAGAGGGGATCACAGACTGCTGAAGTTAAGTATCATCCGCGAAAATTTGATATAGCACGGCTTGATCACTGCACCCAGGGGCTGAACGTACATAGTGAAAAGCACCGGGCCTAGGACCGAGCCCCGTAATACTCAGAATTCGATAATAGAATGCTTCGAGGTCAAGCCGTTTGTGATAACTGATTGGACCCGATTTGTCAGATACAAGAGGAATCATTTCAGGTTAGTATCGGTAAAACCGAACGTTTTTTGCAGACGCTGGAGAAGTATGCCGTGGTCAAGCGTATCGAATGCTGCTGATAGATCAAGTAAAGACAAAAGGGATATCTTGCCCTCACCACAAGACTATAGAAGATCCTTTACGACGCGCAACAGGGCTATCTCAGTAGACTGTTGCGCCCTGTATGCTGACTGAAAAGGCTCAAACAAGTCGCACTGAGTAAGGTGGTTCAGGAGCTGGCGGAGCACGACTTTCTGTAAAATTTAGGATACAAATGGTAGATTAGAAATGGGGCAGATAATTTTCCAACATATTTGGGTCCAGATTTGCTTTCTTTAGCAGTGGAGTTACAACCGCTTATTTAAAAGAGGATGGAACAATACAAGTTTTCAAAGACTGATTTATGATACTAGCAATGATAGGGACTATTTCATCCAAATATTCATACAACAGCCCTGCCGGAAGAGTATCCAGCAATTATGACTTTTTAGGGGAGTCAACCAGGATTCTCTTCACATGCAATTCAGTGACCTCCAAAAATTCGCTTATAGGAGTACCGTTAAACGGCAAGAATTCGGGAGCATCGGTGCAAATGTCAACTCTCGCCATGATTTTCGTAACTTTAGTAATAAAATAAACTCATTTAGTGCGTCTGGCAGCTCGCCTACGGCAATGTTGTTTGGCAAAGATGTATCCTTCTGTTTACTGGTCAGCTGACCCACAATAAGAAAAAGGTTTTTACTTGAGCCACAATGTGCAGAGGTTTTATATACAAAAAAAAAGGGGGGGTTGAATATTAAATATACAATGGGAATGAAGATTTAATATACGAGGGAAATAAAGATTAAATATACGAGGGGAATAAAGATTAAATATACGAGGGGAATAAAGATTAAATATAAAAGGGAATTAAGATTACATATACAAGGGAGATAAAGATAAAATATACAAGCGGGCTGAAGATCAAATATGCAAAGGGAATGAAGATTAGAAACGCAATCCCAAATATAATTTTATTTTTATAAAACAATTTTATTAATACACTTTTTAAAGTTATGTTTTTAAAAAGAAAAAAGTGACGTAAAAAATTACTTAGCAATCCATTTAGGTCTACTCCTATTGGTCATTTCAAACTTAACACACGGTTTATGAGTGATACTCATGTAATGCTCATGTTTAGTTTTAAAATGATATGACAAGGGACGTAATGATGAAATATTGTTCTAAAGTGAGATGACAAGGGAATTAATGCTTAACTGTAGTTCTAAAGGGACATTACAAGGGAAGTAATGCTTAAATTTAGTTATAAAGTAAGATAACAAGGAAATTAATGCTTAAATGTAGTTGTTAAGGGAGATAACCATGGAAGTAACGTTTAAATGTAGTTCTTATGAGAGATAACAAGGGAAGTAATGTTTAATTCATGCACTTTTGAAGAAAATTCTCCATTTAATAAACTGACCCTCCAGATAACTGCTTCCATTAACCCCCCATTCCAGATAACTGCTCCTGGTGTACCCCCCCCCCCAGATAACCAATAAATGCTCCTCCTGTAGCCAGTAACGATAACTTTTCCTCTTGTATCTTTCATATATCTGCTACTCTTGAACCCTACACTAACTGTTCGTCCCTGTACCTTCCAGATAAATGCCACTCTTGTCCGGCTAAGGCCTACGATGCCTGGCGGAACAAATTTGAGATCCATCCTAAAGACGGTCGGGTCATCTCCATTGTACAGTGTGTTATCTCAAGACAACCGTTGAACAAACTAAGAAGGGGAAACGATTCTTGCACTTGATCTGAAGTTGTGATCGATACATTGAGTTATCTCACCAGCGTTAAAGAACGTTTACGTTAAACTATAAGCTAGAAACAATCTACTAAATATTAATTACTTATGAATTAACTATGACATTATACGATTTATTTAGTATTGGTTCAAACACATTGAAATTTATTTTTACATCATATAAATTCATTTACAAGCAATCATATATAAAACATGAAATACACAATTGACGTAAGACATAAAAAAAAAAAATATCTACAAAACGTTCAGCCATCTTGTGACGTCACTCTTAAGGATGCCCATAACGTCTTGTGTATAATTATTCCATTTGCTAACAGGCGGTAAATGCTGACATCAATATAATATTATTCACTATTTATTTTTCATAGATTTACATAGTTTTAATGAAAAAGAAACGCTAACAAATCTTCATAGTTTCATTATTTCCACAAATTAGGTCTTAGCCCAACCCCCAGGTCCATTTCTTCAATCCCATATTAAGCGGGATGATGGGACCATATAATTGTTAAGACTCCTGATTGAAATCTGTTATACAGACAGTGGCAATGAACGGCACTGGGCGGCACCAACCCAGGTTAAACCCCTGCATAGAGTATGATGGAGTTAGCATTGCAGGAGGGATGACGACAGAAATATGATTTGAAAGAAAATAGCTCACGTCCAAATAACTACTGCTTACAAAGGCCGACAACCTGAGGTTTAGTTCGAATAGCAACTGAGTTGTGTTAAATATCAATTTAGTTTTATTGATGCATACTTAATTTATGAATATATACATGTATAGGATTATAAAATTATATTCTTTAAATGATTTAACAATTTGGAATTTATTCCACTATGCTACAAACGGGATTTTGACACCATTTTACATCAATTTTATTGCGGTTTGCCACCATTACGCTTGTGTTGTAATGTAGGCTTAATACATAATATTGTATAGTGGTATTATTAAATACATAATATTGTATTGTTGTATTACTAATACATGATATTTAATATGGTATTATTAAAACATAGTATTGTATTGTGGTTTTATTAAATACATAACATAGTATTGTGGTATAACTAAATACATGAAATTGTATGCGGTATTATTAAATAAAACATTTATTCACAAAACTCCTTCACAATGACTCCATAGTGCGAATAGCCTGTTTCTCCAAAGCTCTTTCTTTAAATTTAATAACCATACGTGACAAAACTGATAATGTATTTTCCGTTCTTAAAAGTAAAATTAATAAATACAATTGATTGCTTTTTAAATTGTTAATAAAACACACACACTTTTCAGCTGTGTATATTGACATTAAAAAGTTTTGCCTTTTTATTCCAAAAATATACCTTTAATAAAATTAAAACGTAATAAAAACTAACCTTTAAATATAATTCTAATAATAAAATGAGGTTTAAGTCAAACAGTGCAGCGCGACTCCATAGCCAAGTAGCATTGACTAATCCACTTTTAACTAAAACAAAAAAGGGCGAACCACATGAAGTGCAAATTATTTTAGTTTTGGTATGGAAGGGGCTACAATCCGGTGGAAGATTTTTCTAAATTTATTTAAATCTGTGTGGGGGAGGGGTTGGTTACTTTCCCCCAAGCAGCGCGAGAGATATTACATTCTCCTTTTACAAATATGGGTATGTTCATTTTGCTCAAGGCAGAACGAGATACGTCTCAAAAGAGAGGAATGGTTTTGATAAATAATTAATGTTCTTGGGTAAATACATGACGGAGGTAGCAAATATGATGTGTACATTTTTACATGGATGACAACATAGTTAACTTCTATGGTTTTACATATGTGAAAAAGAGATGTTACATTCTCTTTTTACAAATTTACATATGTTTACCAATTAAGAAATTCAATTGCGTTAACAAATCGTGGGTACATTTATTTAAGTATACCAATGAATATCAAAACCCAATCATTTTGCACACTTGAAAAAATTAATGTTGAAAAATAGAGATGGGTTAATATTTACTTTAAAAAATTAAAATATATTTTTGTTGTAGCGTTGCAAAAAGTAAAGAGATGTGTATTTTATGAGATGAACCATTTAAATTTAAAAAAAAACCACAAGACTCAAATCTGCTTTAGACGTGAAAAACGGTTGTGCGATTCTTCTTTAGATTATAGAAATTCTTTGTTTTACGATTTCCTGATAATATATATATATTTTTTTTTTTAAAAGGCAAAAAATGTGTTTAAATTTTTGACGAAGATATCAATACATATCGAATTCCTATAACATAAAATATTTTTATATCATATATAGAATTTTTGGTGTAAATTTAAGGTAAGTTTTTAATTTTTTTTAGAGATAATAAAGTTGTAATTCAAGGGCACGAAAAGGGGTAAATCTAAACTATTTCTCTTAAGTAGTAATTGTCCCTCAATTAACTTCTTTAGAGACAAAAGTGATATAATAGTGATAATGTAGACTGGGTAATTTAAGGACATGTTTAGAGGGGGAAAAAGTAGTTTAGGAGCGTGAAAGGGAGTAGGGTAGGCTTATAATATATAGCAGATTAACACTTCTCAAAACTTAATGTTGTTAGAAACGTAAATATCATTACATTTTTAAAGTTATGAATTGTGATGAGTTTTTGCAATATCCTTTAGAAATTATCCCAAAGGATCTACCATTATTATCCCAATAACATCGGGTCATTTATTCTATAGAATAACTATAATTATTAAGAAACAACAAAAATAAAAGATTATCAAAAAACAAACAAACAAACAAACAACACCAACAGGTCAAGGTCGACACCACATTTACAATAGCATGTGTCCTGTTGCTATACAATTACGTGTAGAGTAATGCATAACGAAATTCTTTTATTAGCCAAAATGCATCCCATGCACTTTGAATTTAATCAGATCCACTCCAACCTCCGTTCACACGGGGGGCCTTCGATGAGCTAGTGCCAATCACCCCTCCACCCCCCCCCCATCCCCCGGGCCACACACACTTTTTGTCCTTATAAAGTAACAGTACTGTCACTATTTTATATTTAAAAATTTACTTGACGCTAGTAAGTTAAAATTTTGTATGAACTGACAATAAGATGACTGCTTTAAATATGGTGGGTATAGTTGAGCTATGTTGAAGTTCCAGCAGCAAAACTAAGCTGTGACAGAAGCATACTTGCAGGGGCGCCACAACCTGAAGGAATTCAGTTTATGGACCGAAGTGCAGGGTCATTGTCCTAAATTTTACAACTGATAGATGCCATGCCCCCCTCCCCGCCCAACGTATGAAATGCAATGCCTCCCCTTCTGTACGGATTAAATTATTTTTTAAACTTAACAATACAGAGGCGTAGCGAGGGGGGGCTGGGGGACAGATGTTTTAGGGGCACCAAAATGTGCTTTGATATTATATTATTGGTAAAAAGAATGGGTTTGAGGGTTGAAAAAAGGAAAAGGGGGCGCATTAAAATGGATCTTGTCCTCAGGCGCCAAACGCCCTCGCTACGTCTCTGTAATACTAAATATTGTAAATTTTCAATTACTGATTTTTTGTACTTGATGATTGACGATTACTTTAATGGCGCTGGTGTCCGTGCTATTTCAGCATTCAATCATTCACTTCTAATCGAGGCACCTTTCAAAATCCACATACATTCTTCTATAACAATTACAGTGACGCACCGATGATAGAACATAATGTTTTGTTTAAGTGTTCGTTCGAAGTCCACAATCAAGACAATGTTTACACCTGTAGTTAAAGCAGTTCACTTCCAGAATTCATAACCGTGGTGCGTCATATTTATGGTTCACTGACTTAGCCAGACGTCATTCAACTGTGAAAAGTAGGGACTAGGTTTTAGGGGGGGAATGGAAGGCGTTTGAGAGTTGAAATAACTTTACGGTACCCCCAACTGGTTACATGTTTTGTCATTATGTTTCTTTACGGTGAACACGATCTGAGTTTGGCATAGGCGTGTCAAACTTATATGAGTCAAGAAAGTCATACTATAGCGTCTGAGGTTGCCATAGGTAAAAGAAGAATTTTGAAGGGATTGCAAAAAAAAATAAAAAAAAATAAATAAATATGGCATATAGCTTGAAAAGTAATACAAAAAAATGGCTTAATGATTATCTAGAAAATAGGAATGATATAAACATTGAAAGCCTCGAAGTTAACCAAACCATCTGCTTAAGTATCATTCTGATTTACGAAAAAATACCTTGAGTAAATCATACGTTTCTTAACAACCGACTTTCTTTGTATTTTAAGTGGTTAAAAAATGCACTGTCCAATTAAATTTATAATCAGATACCCCCTCATATTTAATGCGCACTATTTTCTCACGGTTATAGACACCCCTATTGTTTTATCATTAGAAAGAAAGTAAATCGTTTGTGAAAATTTACCAACAATGAAATTCTGAAACACATGTAAAATACCTGGCAATAGGTATTTTACCTTATTAACAATACCTACCAGAAGCTCACAAGGAGACACGCCACTGGTCTGTTGATTCCAAAACCCTATTTAATAAGGAAAAAGTTCTTACCTCCATAGCGTTAGCAGAATCTATGTAACCATGTATATACAACAAACCTTTTTTTTTTTTACCACGACGCTCTAATGTGGCTTCACCATGATTCGCACCTAAGTACTCCAGTGGCAACGCTGTGGTTATGACATGTGATTGTACAGGCGATCTCCAATACGTGATCGCCGCTTCTATACTCTTAACATGTCAATCGTTTTATTTATTTGCTGTTTTTCTTTTTGTTCTCAATGATTCTATCGATTTCTAGTTTAAATATTTTTAAATTTAAATTTTTTTTTTTTAAAAACAAGTTATTTTTCTACTTTATGAAAAAGCCGAAATTAAAAATCAAAAGTATTTCGTTATTTAACAGATTCATTTTATTTGAGCAATAAAGCAGAGGGGCAATAACCTTGGATAGGTAAAAATAAAACGAACCACAATTTGACCACAAATATATATATATATATAAAAGATATATGTTTAGAAAAAACAAGCAATTTAAAGGAAAATATTTTAATTAACTAGAAGATATTTAAACTCTTATTTGTGGTGGTTGTTGTTGCATTCTTTCAGGCTTTCTCCATAGCCATTGTTTCCAATTTCCATTTTTTAAATCCTTTAAAAATTTTTTTTTTAAAAATCACCATTATTGCTGGACTGGCCAAGCTGTTCCACTTGAACCCCCCACTTCTGCTCAATTCTCACAGCTCAGGCGAATTCTATGACTGATGAGTTTGTTCACTGCACGCTTCACCAACGTGGTTCGTGACGTCACCACTCCTCTCAAATATTGAATATTGAGCTTTCATACTTTGAAACTGCGGTAGCCATTTGGCAGCAAACTTCGCGTGCAAACATCGTTGAGTGGGAAAAAAAGGGGTGGGGTGGGGGGGGGAGTCAATCTATAAATAACTAGAGAATAAAAGAGCGCCGCCTAAACTACATCCACTTAATGGCAAAAATTACGTTCAATATAAGGCTAATAACAGTAACTATTAGTTCTCACTGTGTGTTCCGTGATTAATAAATAAGAGTGTGGCGAGATAATAATTTAACGGCCCTTTCACTAATGTACACTTTTTAAAAGTTTAAAAAGAAACAAGACATAGTCTAAAATGCCTTCAGGTCTCATTGATACACGTCAATAGGTCTCATGGATATGCGTCTCTAGGTCTCATGGATACTCGTCTCTAGGTGTCATGGATACACGTCTCTAGGTCTCATGGATACACGTCTCTAGGTCTCATGGATACACGTCTCTAGGTCTCATGGATACACGTCTCTAGGTATCATGGATACACGTCTCTATGTCTCATGAATTTACGTTTCTAGGTCTCATGGATCCACGTTTCTGTGTATCATATATTTACGTTTATAGGGCACATGAATATACGTCTCTAGGTCTCAAGGATTCACGTCTCTGGGTCTCACGGTTGCACGTCTTTAGGTCTCTTGGATGGACGTCTACAGGTCTCTTGGATGGACGTCTACAGGTCTCTTGGATGGACGTCTACAGGTCTCTTGGATGGACGTCTACAGGTCTCTTGGATGGACGTCTACAGGTCACTTGGATGGACGTCCACATGTCTCTTGGATGGACGTCTACAGGTCTCTTGGATGGAGGTCTACAGGTCTCTTGGATGGACGTCTAGAGATCTCTTGGATGGACGTCTACAGATCTCTTGGATGTACGTCTACAGATCTCTTGGATGGACGTCCACAGATCTCTTGGATGGACGTCTACAGTTCTCTTGGATGGACGTCTTCTAAATGTCTTTGCGTTACGTCACTGTGGCTCATGGATTCACGTCTCCCTGTTGTCTTGAAGTGACGTTTCTAGGTCTCTTGGATAAATGTCTAGATGCTCAAGGATTCACGTCTTCTGGTAGGTGTTTTATAGTGACGTACGTATCCTGGATATCTTGGAATCACGTCTCCTAGGTGTATTGGAGTCACTCATTCTGTATCTTGGAGTCACGTGACCTCTCTTGGATGACTTAGAGTAACTTCTCTAGGCCTCATGAAGTCATGACTCTAGGGCTCATGAAGTCACGTCTCTAGGGCTCAAAAAGTCCCGTCTCTAGGGTTCATGGAGTCCCGTCTCTAGGGCTCATAAAGTCCCATCTCTAGGACTCATGGAGTCACTTCTCTAGGGCTCATGGAGTCCGTCTCTAGGGCTCATAAAGTCCCGTCTCTAGGGCTCATGGAGTCACGTCTCTAGGGCTCATAAAGTCCCGTCTCTAGGACTCATGGAGTCACTTCTCTAGGGCTCATGGAGTCCCGTCTCTAGGGCTCGAAAAGTCCCGTCTCTAGGGTTCATGGAGTCTCGTCTCTAGAGCTCATGGAGTCCCGTCTCTAGGGCTCATGGAGTCACGTCTCTAGGGCTCATGTAGTCACTTCTCTTGGCCTCATGGAGTCACGTCTCCTTGGTAACTTGGAGTCACGTCTCTATGGCTCATGGAGTCACGTCTCTATGGCTCATGGAGTCACGTCTCTTTGGTGGCTTTGAGTTGCGTATCTAAATCTCATGGATACACGTCACATTCCGTCTTGTGGATGCACCCGTGCCACTGAATTATTGCTTGACAAGGACAACATCGTGAGTGGAAATCTTGCTTCTCATTTATAATTATTTTGAATCCAGTTTTTAACGAATTGCCTAACGTTATCTGCACAGAAAAATTATTTAAAAATGGAAAAGATAATATGGTGTAAATTGTACTTATTGAAAAAAGCCGATGTTTTTGTTATTGTTAACTTACTATGAAGACGCTTTGACTTACTAAAAATCGTTTCTTTACCTTAAAAAATGTGACGTAATTTACTGCTCATAAATGGCATTAGTTTTGTTGATAAACATTTAAATGAATTTTATTTACTCTATTTCATTATGAAAACCCATGTTATTAATGAAAGTTTCTCACAGACGTGCCACTCCTATTCAGTAGCGACAGTTGTTCCCACTTTTCGTGCGCACCTGGTGGAGGCATGACGAAAATAGCTATTTTTGGTATCGATTTTTTGGTATATTCCCACCTCATTTCAATGCCAATAACCACTAATGATTAGACACAAAGTCGGGTGTTAATCTAGTGATTGGAGAATCAGGATCGGTGCATAGTGGTGGATTGGCGGCGACATTGACTGGTACATTAACGGCCTGGATTTCAAAGTGTCCCTATCAAGAAGAGACACCTGTTGGACATTGCTGGATGATAAATGTTTTGGTCATTGCTGGACTAGAAATCAGTTGGTCATTGCTGGGCAGGCCGTCTGTTGGACATTGCTGGACGATAAATCTTTTGGTCAGGGCTGGACGAGTAATCTAGTCGCCAGTGCTTAACGAGCCAATTAGTTGGTCAGTGCTGGACGACAAAAAACCCGAGCGTGGATAGTACAAGAGTGGTGGAAAAAGCATGGATATACGCTGGATGTTTCTATGGATATCAGGTCAGATTTTAACACCATCTTTGTCGTTTTTATTGTGAACATGTATAGTGTTATCGTTTTTAAAATTAATTTGTTATATTTTAATAAGTGTGAAAGTAGTTTTTTTTTTTAAAGATGTCAATAAAAATGGGGGGGGGGGGGTGGGTTGGGTGTTCAGTTTTAAGTACTGTCATTTAAAAACATTTAACTCTTTAATTTTGAATATTTCGTTTCAAATAGTTTCAACATTTCAACACTTCAACATGACACATAGAACACATCCATAGACGTGGTTTAGCGGCTTCCATTGTTATAAGTTCAGAATATCAATGGCAATGAATTTCGGCAGGGACAACATTGTTTTGATCAACTTCCAACTGTAGCTTAATCAATTATCGCGTGTAGATTATCAATAGCTGCATACAGCTGATACTACAGGCAAGGCTTAGTGTCAATTAAAGTCAAAAGACCTCTCAAAGTGATGTTAGTGGTGCGTACGGTCACGGGTACCGTTACACGCCACAACCACACGCTAATATAAGCGTTAAGTGCCTCAACCACACAACATTGGTACCGTTACACACCCCAACTACAACTACACACCTCAACCCCACAACATTGGTACCGTTACACGCCCCAACTAAATGCCTCAAACACACAACATTGGTACCGTTACATGCCCCAACTACAACTACACGCCCCAACCACACAACATTGGTACCGTTACACGCCCCAACTACAACTACACGCCCCAACCACACAACATTGGTACCGTTACACGCCCCAAATACAACTACACGCCCCAACCACACAACATTGGTACCGTTACACGCCCCAACTACAACCACACACCTCAACAACACAACATTGGTACCGTTACACGCCCCAACTACAACTACACGCCCCAACCACACAACATTGGTACCGTTACACGCCCCAACTAAACGCCTCAAACACACAACTTTGGTACCGTTACACCCCCCAACTACAACTACACGCCCCAACCACACAACATTGGTACCGGTACACGCCCCAACTAAACGCCTCAAACACACAACACAACTACAACTACACGCCCCAACCACACAACATTGGTACCGTTACACGCCCCAACTAAACGCCTCAAACACACAACTTTGGTACCGTTACACACCCCAACTACAACTACACGCCCCAACCACACAACATTGGTACCGTTACACGCCCCAACTAAACGCCTCAAACACACAACATTGGTACCGTTACACACCCCAACTACAACTACACGCCCCAACCACACAACATTGGTACCGTTACACGCCCCAACTACAACTACACGCCCCAACCACACAACATTGGTACCGTTACACGCCCCAACTACAACTACACGCCTCAACCACACAACATTGGTACCGTTACACGCCCATACTACACGCCTAAACCACACGCCATTGGTACCGTTACATGCCTCAACCACACGCCATTGGTACCGTTGCACGCCCCAACTACATGCCTCAACCACACGCCATTGGAACCGTTACATGCCCCAACTACATGCCTCAACCACACGCCATTGGTACCGTTGCACGCTTCAACCCCACGCCATTGGTACCATTATACACCCCAACCACACGCCCCAAATACACGCCATTGGTACCGTTACACGACCCAACCACACGCCATTCAGTTGGAATGTAAGGTGGTAAAATAAGAGTTGGAACGTGTTTTGACGTGAACCAGCGAAAGCAATTTACCACAATCCGAAAGTGTTGGCATTAAGTTTATTTCCAGTACCACGCACGTTAGCATAGATTTATTCAGAGACTATGGAATATATGTTTCTCATAATCAATTAACAGTTAAAAGTTAGAGCTAGTCCGTGCAATGGCTGTCAAACCCCTGCTTCTCACTGCTTCGCACTGTTTCCTACTGCTTCTAACTTGTTCTCACTTATATCACTGCGTATCACTGGTTCTCACTAGTTCTCACTAGTTTTGACTAATTTACCCTAGTTCTCACTGGTTGTTCCTGGTTGCCACTGGGTGTCACTGGTTGTCACTGGTTCTCACTAATTCTTACTGGATTTCACTACTTCTCCCTGCTTCTCTCTTGTTCTCACTGATTCTCGCTAGTTCTCACTAGATGTCATCGTTTCTCGCTGCTTTTCACTGGTTGTCACTTGTCACTAGTTGTCGGCAATTTATCGCTCAAAATTATTTCTATTAACTCACAAGTATGCTGTCACTTACTGTAACTTACTGTGACGCACTGAATCATGGAGTCAGGATTACACTTTTAAATCAAAAGGCTTGCGGTTAAGATTAAATGGCAAACATGTCCAATGTACACACGGCGTTTCACCGTCTGGATCAAATGGTAAACATGTACAATGTGCGCAGACCGTTTGGTAACATGTACAATGTACGAAAACCGTTTGGTAACATGTACAATGTACGCAGAACCGTTTGGTAACATGTGCAATGTACGCAGACCGTTTGGTAACATGTGCAATGTACGCAGACCGCTTGGTAACATGTACAATGTACGCAGACCGTTTGGTAACATGTACAATGTACGCATACCGTTTGGTAACATGTACAATGTACGCAGACTGTTTGGTAACATGTACAATGTACGCAGACCGTTTGGTAACATGTACTATGTACTCAGACCGTTTGGTAACATGTACAATGTACGCAGACCGTTTGGTAACATGTACAATGCACGCAGACCGTTTGGTAACATGTACAATGTACGCAGACCGATTAACCGCCTTGGTTAAACCGCTTGGGCAAATGTTGGGACATCGATCAATGTCAGGTCAGCTCTTTAATTACCGGGGGATTTCATTTCAAATGACTCATTTTTAGCGCCAAATTAAGTACGCAAAAAAATACCCTTTAAAAAACGCAAATTCCATTACACATACGACCATACAAATCAGTTTAGCATCACAAATACAATTACAGTAGTGCGTTCACTGTGCAGCGTGTTTCAATACAAAATAACACTAAACGCATTTTAAGAGTGATGGCTCGCTTACTTCAGTGTTGGTATCGACCAAGAAAATCGCTTGTTATTTGACCATTAAGGAAAAAAAAAACGAAATTGAAACATCGTTTATTGGTTGTTTGTTTTTTATCGGTCTTGGACTTGAGTTCACTTGAAGGTCGGCCGTCCTCAGAGATCGACAATCGGTTTCAAAGCTTCCCAGTCGGTGTATTTATGTGTATCAAATTTGGAGAGCTTCTCGGGTTACCCATACTGCATTGCGTTAGTTATCTATAGGCTGAGGTTTTCGTAAAACAGAGAAGGAAAATAATTCGTGACATTATTTACCCATGAGATGCTTGCCAATGTTTAAACATATCATTGAAATTGTCGATTAAAATAATAAATTGCATTCATCAACACACACAAAAATCACGCGTGGCCCCATTTATAGATTTCATTACATCACACAAACCCATTCTAGTACACTTAAAATAATATGCCAAGACACTGTTAACCCAATTGGTTTCATGGTTAAGCAAAAATTAAATTTATTTAAAGTTTCAATTTGGGTTCTGAAATCTGTAGAGTAATTAACCCTGACGGTGAGGCATGATTACTAAGTGCACAAGAACATTTCGTGACAGAATCTGTCTCATCGACCATCTGTGCACCGAAACCCAAGTTAACAATTAGCATATACGTCGATTAAGGTGGGCATAGTCAATTTTCACAGACAAAATCATGTATATAATCTGCATCCGTTTCGTCCAGGCGTTAGCATAAAGAAGTTGTGAAGACAGGAGTCCCAACTGAAAAAAACCCTAGCTAGAGAAATGAAGCATACTGCAATGAAAATATAAAAACTCTGAGAAAACCTTTAGATACATGTGATGATCTGATAACGGCCACAGTTACATCCCTTTATTTTAGGGCGATCTTCACATGTATCTAAAGGTTTTCTCAGAGTTTTTATATTTTCATTGCAGTATGCTTAGGGGGGGGGGGGGGGGGGGGGGGGGGGGGGGTTAAATGAATTTCGTGAAATGATCCACCCCGAGTCTTTTTGCAATTCGCGTATCATGAGAATACGGCATTGAACTTAACATCAACTTGACCCCCTGGAAGACGCGTTGGTCGCTTACGACTTGGGAATATTACAGAGTTGGGCTTCAGGTCGCATGTCTTCAAGAGTTATTAGTTCTGAGCGAACTTAGGGATGTTCATTTCATTGCGGTTTCAAAATAATTGTGGATAATAACCTAAGATAACAATGCCGCTATAGAAACGTCGCGTATAGTTGTGCAGTGTTTCACTTCAACAAAACCAGTCTTCCATTCTCAGAAAGGGGATCTGATTTTTCAAGCCTTTGTAAATACACCTTAACGCAAGAGCCAACAAAGCCCAAATGATATAGTTATCGTTCAACAAAAGAAGCACTCTTTGACATCACATAAACACACACTCACACACGCACTGACACCTATATACACACGCGCGCGCAATCTCCATACCCCCCCCCCCAAAAAAAAAATATAAAAGAAATGTCCATCATTCAATTTGTCCATTTTAAACAACGTTAATCCTCTGTACTTCTACAAACATTGAAAGGTGATCTCTTTCTCAAACAACGGTGACGTCAATTTCATTGTGCAGCATGTTAACTGGTTTTCATCATTGTTTGTAGAGCTTGTTGGGTTGGCGGTGCAGTGCACCACACACTGATGGGGTACATGAAAATGGCCAGGATTTGATGTCGACATGATATTGATTCTGTCCCTTGTTGGGGCTGAAAGGTTTGAACCTCTATGTATGCCTAATATCTACTTGAATAAAGTTTCCGGAAGTAGATAGGGTTGTTGACATGATATTTCCATTACAAGGATAAAAGGAGCATTTAGGAACCGCTTAATTAACTAGAGTCTTGAAATGTAGATTACAGTTTTTTGGGGGGTTTATTTTATAGGGCTGGGCGAGGTGATTGCTGTTAAGCACTCCGTCCTTGTTCCACGTAATGTTAGGGATACCAAGTGGCGTAGCTAGGGACAGTGCTGCACGGAGCGGGCAAAGATTTTTGCCGGAACCACAACGAAAAAAACACTCTGGATTTGGCCGAAGATGCCGCCCCTCTAGATATAAGGACTGCTCCCTACGTACACTGACTCAAAATTCTCTGCGATCCACCAGCGCCTTCTTAAAGCATGGCTCGGTGCGCAAAGGTGCAGGTACTCCCACATATAGGAGGCCTCACGCCTCTGGGGGGTGATGGGGGTGGGGACACGCATTTAGGAGGCCTCTAGCTTCTAGGTGGCTTTACGCATTTAGGGAACCCCAAGCTTCAGTGTGGCTTCACGCTTTTAAGGGGCCTCAGACTTCTAATGGGCCTCGCGCCTCTTGTGGGCCTCATACGTTTAAGGGGCCTCACCCTTCTAGGGGTCTCAATATTCTAAAGGGGCCTTACGCTTCTATCGTGCCTCAAGCTTCTAGACGGTCCTAACGCAACTAAGGGCCCTGACGCTTCTAAGGGGCCTGACGTGTCTAGGGTCATCGAGTTGACTATATTGATAATTGATATTGAAACATCTTTATGCAATTTAATTTTCTATAAAGTGAAGTGGGAAGCAGATTGATGTTGAGGGACACTAACAGACAAGGACAAAAAGACCGATAATTTTAAAGGAATTATTTTTTTTTTTTGCAGTTCTAGACTTATTACATAGTACAATTTTTTCCTATACAATCAGGTGGTGGAGCAAATACACGCCCCCCCCCCCAATAACGTCCTTGGTCACAAGACACTTTTCTTCTATATAATTTTGTTGTGTCTTAAAAATGTTGCGAAGCTGCTCTTCAAAATAATTAAGAATACAAAACCTTGAGGCTTGAAAAAACATTAATGTGAACTTTTTATTTTCAAATCTTTTATATTAACTTCGCTTTTGTTCGTGACTGGCTGGGTGGGTGGCTGGCAAATTCTTCAGATTGCNGGGGGGGGGGGGGAGGGGGGGCTCCTCCCCCCCCCCCCCCCGGATTGATTGATTAAATTTTTTTTATAGAAAAAATAGATAAAAAATGTATTAAAGTAAAGAGAAAATAAAGAGAGAGTCACTAAGCTGATGCTGATCTCTTTTTACTGGGTAATTATTTTAATATTTTCTATATTAATTATTTTATGTATCACTGTATGTTGTGCGCCAAAAATTGTTTTGAACATAAGTATTTTTATTATGTATATTTTTTTAAGGCGAATATGTTAAAGGACGTTAGGTCATTGTTTAAGAGTAGTCTACCGTTATCCAGGTACAGTGTAAACTTGTCAAAATGTTGATGTTTACAATGAAAAATAGTCAAATAATGTTACTTTTAATTTACATCACTTTGTGTTAGGAGTAAAGAAAGTATTAGAAAAATCTTAATTATCTATTTTAATTTCGTTATAAATTTAGTTGTATGAGCTGCATGTGAAATGAATTGTAATAATTTTAAATACCTTGACTACTGTTGTTAGATTTAAGTGTGCTTATTTACTTTAAGTAAATTAAGATGAATATTCAATAACAAAGGGATGTACAATGTCTTGATTGAGACTTTACTACTCCTTGTACAAAGTACAAAGATTTTAATGAATGGGCCAGAAACCTTATCAGCTCAACATGGCATCGTGGGTCTCAACAAGATGCTGAACACTTCGCGTCAACCATTTGAAATTCAAATAAGGATTTTATTTGTCAGATAGATAATTCAGTAAAACGAACTATTGAAGAAAACATTAAGAAACTGTATCCTATTATTTCAACAATATTATTTTGCGGAACAAATGATTTGGCAATTCGTGAGAAAGATAGCACAAAAGGAAATGTCGAACAACTTTATGCGTATCGAATTCAGGGAGGAGAGTATTTTAAAAAAACAACATTTTGATACAGCTGCTGAAAATGCACTTTACACATCACACCGAGCGCAGAATGAAATGATCAACTTGTCTGAACAAGCTCTGCAAGAAGACATTGTAAAAGCTGTAAACAATGCTGTTTGTTACTCGATCATAGCCGATGAAATAGCAGATATCTCAGGAATAGAACAGTTGTCACTGGGAGTCTTGTTTGTAGATACGTCTAGTGAGAAGGCTTTGATTCGTGAGGAATTCCATGGATTTTCTCCACTGAAGAATATGGACGCCGCCACGATATCTGATTGTATTATTCAACAATGCAAAACATTAGGTCTTCTCCTTAATAATCTGCTGGGTCAAGGTTATGATGGGTGTTCGACAATGGCCGGAAAAGAAAATGGTGTTCAGGCAAAAATTCGAAGTATTTACCCCAAGGCTGCCTTTGTTCACTGTGCCTCGCATAGACTGAATCTCGTAGTCAATGATCTTAATAATGTTGCAGTGATACGAAATACTATTGGTACTATCAAAGCAATTATCACATTTTTTCGTGAAAGCCCAACAGGGAGGTCCACTGTCCCAAATACTCCTCTTCCGTGTGAGAAAAGATGGACAAGCAAGTATAATAGTATTCGGATTTTTTCTAGTAAATTTAAGGAAATTTTTATTGTCAACTGGAAGAATTTTCATTGCATGCAAGTGGAAATGCACGACAGGCTGCACATCAGTTATATTGTTCATCAAAGTCCAGCACGTTTTTATTTTGTCTCAATATTATTTCGCAGTACTCTGCCATACTGGAACCAGTTACTCAGGCTCTTCATGCTGTTCAAGTTGATCTTTCAGAAGTCCAACTGCAAGCTCAAAACCTGCTCAGTGTAGTCAAACTTCACCGAGGGGATGCCGATAACTATTTCAGGGATATTTTTGAGAAAACAGCACAACTCGCACAGAAGGTGGATATTGAACTGATTATCCCAAGACAGTGTGGAAGACAAAAGCATCGAAGTAATCCGGGAAACGTAAGTGTTGAAGAGTACTTCAGACAAACAGTTTACATTCCATACTTAGATTCTCTAATTAGCTCAATGGAGAGTCGATTTTATGAAGCCAACAGTGCAATATTTAACTTAGCGTTGCTACATCCTTCGAAATTGTGCAAACTGAATCCTCAACAGTTTAAGGATACAATGTCTACTATTAATCAGGTATACCACATTGATAATTTTGAAAGTGAAGCCTTGAGTTGGTTTGATTTTTGGAAAACGAGAGAATACAAAAGTAGCCAAGATTTCATCGGCTTGTTACGTTGTACAAAGTTGTATCCGGCTGTCAGGTATGCCTTACTAGTTTTGCTAACACTACCAGCAACAACATGTACAGCAGAGCGATCGTTCAGCACATAAAGTCATGTAAAAACATGGCTTAGATCTACAATGTCAGATGAACGAACGTCTGTCTGGGTTGTGCATGTTAAGCGTACACAGAGACAAAGTGAACTGCAACACAAAAGACTTTATGGACAAAATTGTAGATATGTTTGGTAGCGATAACAGACGACTCCAGTTCTTGTTTAAAGAATAAATTTTATTTTCATGTATGTTGTAATATTTTTTGTTATATACATGTATTGTGTTAAAAAAAATTTGTTGCTACAGTATGCCCTTCATTACTGCAGTGTTCTGTCCGTTCGTTCACCATACAAATACGCTACAGTAAATTAAAACTACATTAAAACATTACAAAAAAGTATTTTGCCCCCCCCCCCCTAGAAAATTTCCTGCGGGTGCCCATGCCGTGAACCTATAGAACTGAAACGTGGCACTTAGCCTTGTTGCCCCGGACAACAAATTCTATACAATTTTCAAGCCCAACCCCCAACCCCCAAAACTATATTTTTTCCTGTTTTTCAAAGGGGGGGGGGGCATGAAGGAAAAAGTCACGATAACTGCACTAAATGATATTATTAAAAAAAAATTATCACAAGTGCTTTTGATGCGTAATTTTCTCTTTTGCTTTGCTAAAATGGTTGGTGAAATAAATCTGCGACTTAAAAGCAGGTGGATCATTATATATCAATATCGCTATATCAATATAGTTCAGGGGCGTTTAAAAAATGTGTGGTTGCGTGCTTTGGGGGGGGGGTGGGGTGCACTAATTGTGATTCTTATGAAGTATGCATGTTTTGTAAAAAAAATTTAGCCCCACCCTTCATCGCACGATATATCCTTCCGTCTCCTTGAGACGATGGAGTAGCTATTTAATCCTTCCATCTCCTTCAGACGATGGAGTAGCTATATATCCTTCAACCTCCTTGAGACGATGGAGTAGCTATTTATCCTTCCACCTCCGTGACACGATGGATTAGCTATGTACACTTCATCAAATGGCTCACTAGGCCGATGTTGGAATGACAGTCTATGCTGCATTTCTCCTAGGAGCAGCTTGACTCCTGGTCAAATGTGACCTTCCGTAATGTTCTTTGTGTTGCAAGCGCTTCGTTTCGCGCATCTTCTGTCTTTTTTTGCCACTTTCATACACTGCTGTTTCCCAGCTGGATTGGTCTCAAAGATTATCTCCCATTGGATAAGTCTTGCCCCTTATCTCAATTCTGCATACAGCAAATCCAGGGGAATACGGCCTTCCTCCATTCTCCTTACATAACCTAAACAAAGAAGGGCCCCTTTGGCTAATAGCGGACAATATCCTACACATTTTTGCACGCTCGAAGACCCCTGTGTTATGCACCTTGTCCTGACATTAAATGCGTGAAATGTGACACAGACCTGTTTGATGGAAGCTGCTCAGTTTTCGCTCATGACTGGAATAATTGGTCCACACTTCACTACTAATTAGGCGCGTACTAAGCACGCGTGTTTGATAGACTCTTAGTTTTGTACTATCACTGGCTCGATATTACATTTTATAAATGATTGATACGAAAATATTGGTTGTAAGGGTTTTTAAATTTAAATTTGAGCAAAATCGCAGATTGTCACACATTGTAACAGATTGTCACATATTGTAACAGATTGTCACACATTGTAACAGATTGTCACATATTGTCCCTATAAGCCTTGGCCTTGGCCTGTAAAATCTAGTCAACCGTTTTAACTATAAAGCTCAGTAGCTCTAGTACACAGGTTCTCAAGCATTTTTAAGTCACGACCTCAAACATATATATATATATATATATATATATATATATATATATANATATATATATATATATGCAAAGTGACCCTTACCGCGATTAATTAATAAAAGTGTTTGAAATGATTTTAAAAAGAAAACTACAACAAAAAACACCTAATTTAATACCACACCTTGGTTATTCTTATAGCATAATAAAAATTAACGTCATATTTAACGCCTTGATTGAATTTAGAAATGAAACTTTAAGACACCAATTAATAAAGAAAACTATTTAAAAAAACACAAAAAAACCCAACACAATTGCTTTTAGTCTATTATTTCAAGCAGCGACAACACAGAAATCACTTCGAAAAATCAACCTAGTAAGACATATATATATATAAATGTAGAGAGAGAAAGATACATGTGTTAAAATTTTATTTTTTATTCATAAGAAACACAGCGTTACACGTTTTCGGCGATTGATTTGAAATGAACACTTGTGACGTGTAAAGAATGGCACTCTCTAATAAAGTGAGACGGTTTTGTCTACAGGCGGACAGACACGACTTTGGCTCAACAAGCACATGATTTTTATTGACTTGATCTAAGCAGGGGGAAAGTTAAGCGACTAGTAACAAGTGAACAAAATCTCATTTAACCTTAGCATAATTTTTTAATTCATTTAATAAATTGAAAAAAAAAAAATGAAAAAAAATGCAATAATAAAAAAAGAGAAACAATTTCTTGTATACTTAAGTTCTATTAAAACGTTTTTAATTAAATATTTTTGCCCCGAGATTTCAAGGGATCCCAAGGTAGATTAACTGTGCTTTTGTTTTTCCAGGGATAAGCGAAAAGCTAGGAAATGAGAAACGTTATTTTGAATGCATCGTATAATTTATATGAGCCTTTTTAGTAAGTCTTGGCTCCAAAAATGTGCAGGGACTTGGCTTCCTAGAAATGTTCAGCAAATCAGGGCACTTTTCAATAGCTGTTTTCTCTCCTGGTTCACGTTTGGCAGGTATTTTACTGACGTCACCCACGGAGCAGGTGTTTACGATCAAAGAAGAGACCCGGCTGAGGACAGACCTGTTCCTGGACTACGACTCGGCTGTAAGACCTGATGCCACCACTGGAGTCAAGCTGTCCTTCCAGCCTACTGCTATAACTAGTGTGGTGAGTATTGAGTCAAGCTGTCCTTCCATCCTACTGCTATAACTAGTGTGGTAAGTATTGAGTCAAGCTGTCCTTCCAGCCTACTGCTATAACTAGTGTGGTGAGTATTGAGTCAAGCTGTCCTTCGAGCCTACTGCTATAACTAGTGTGGTGAGTACTGACTCAAGCTGTTCTTTCAACCTATCGCAAATACCAGTGTAGTGAGTATTGAATTACACTGTATTTGCAACCGATTGCAAACTTGAGTTTGGTGAGTACTGACTCAAGCTGTCCTTCCAGCCTACTGCTACAACTAGTGTTGTGAGTATTGAGTCAAGCTGTATGTCCATCCCGTCGCAATCACTATCAAGGTGAGTGTTGAGTATTGCTAATAGTCAGTTTATAAGGGCAATTAACGTACTCTAAGCAAAAATGTCCAAGATTTAACCGCAAAACCCTAATTATGTCCAAGATTTAAAAGTCAGATACTGATTATGTCCAATATTAAATAGAAAGTCTTACATATGTCCAACATTTAACAGTAAGTCCCTCATTACATGGGCGCCGCAGGTAGGGGCAAGGTAAGGCACTTGCCCCCCCCCCTGGATTGATTGGATACAATTTTTTTAGACAAAAATAGACAAAAAATTATTAAAGTAAAGAGAAAATAAAGAGTAAATAACTAAGCTGATGTCCTGTCCCTTCGTTCACCATAGAAATACGCTACAGTAAATTAAAACTATATTAAAACATTACTAACAATTTTTTGCCCCCCCCCCTTGGAAAGTTAATCTATTTTTTTGCCCCCCCCCCTAGAAAGTTTTCTGTGGGCGCCCATGCCTACGAAATACGCTAAAGTAAATTAAAACTATATTAAAACATTACTAACCATTTTTTGCCCCCCCCCCCTTGGAAAGTTAATCTATTTTTTTGCCCCCCCCCCTAGAAAGTTTTCTGTGGGCGCCCATGCCTCATTATGTCCACGATTTAACATTTAAACCCTCATTATGTCCACCATTTAACAGTAAGATCCTCATTATGTCTAATATTCAACAGTAAGACCCTCATTATGTCCAAGATTTAACAGATGTCTTATTATTCAATATTTTATCTACATAGTGACCGGGAGCATGGTCTAATTTATCGCAATTACTTCTTTTAAAATTTTCTTAAAAGATCTGCAGAAATGCATAAACCGTTCCACGGACCTCCATTTTGAGAATCCCTGGTTAAAAACAGGCCGGTAGTTTGGTAGCGCAATTGAGGGGGGGGGGGGGGGGGTTTTTGTGTGTTGGGGGGGGGGGGGGGGGGAGCGATTCGAAAATGAGCTGTCTAGAATTTGAAAATCAACGGTCTACTATGATTTAACTATGATTTAACTATGATTTAACTATGATTTAACAATGATTTAACAATGATTTAACTATGATTTAACTATGATTTAACTATGATTTAACTAGGATTTAACTATGATTTAACAATGATTTAAAAATGATTTAACTATGATGTAACTATGATTTAGCTATCATATAACTATGATTAAACAATGATTTAACTATCGTTTAACTATCATTTAACTATCATTTAACTATTATTTAACTTGTATTTTAAAAAGAAAATAGTTAAAGTCTCAATTTAAAATAAGCGTTCGTTAAAAAGTAAATTTCAGTTCTACATGATATCTTTTGAAAATTTACTTGCTATGTTTCGTCAACGATACTCTAGTGATTTCTTCCTGAAATCTTTCATTTAAATTTCTTCAGCCTACAACCCTATTTTTTAATATTAAAAATTATGAATAGGACACAGTGGGGGTGGGGGGAAGCACACGAATTTTAGAAAAGCATAGGTGGGGCATGGCCCAAAAAAAAAAGGTTGGGAAACACCAATGTAACCAGATACGAGTAATACATCTTTAAGAAATAATGAAGTATGTACATGAAATGTAACAGTATTTTTTTTATTGAAATAATACGAAGGTAAGTTGTAAAAATTAACTCCTAAAATATATATGACAGGAGGAATGCCAACAGACAATGTTAGCTCGTCATTTGGTAGGATTTTTTAACTTATAACTGTGATGACCTTTTGTTTTTAAAAAAAAAAAATCAAGTTATTTGATTTTCTGATTCGTTCTCAGGACATAAAAAATCAACAATTTGGTATCTCTGGCTGGTGGCTGATGGTAATCAAAGTGTTTCGTTGTGTTCTTTGCAAAATCAATATTTATACGTTAGTAGATACTAGTATGATTACAAGTTATTATGAAATAAGCTAGTACACACCTTTCATAAATATCATTATTATTATTATTATCATTATGACTATATTATTAGACTCTATTGCTGTTATTACTATTCTTATTGTTGTTATTATTAGTATGCAAAATATATTTTAAAAATTAGTAATAATACTATGACTCGTTTATCCAAAGTCTGTAGCGAATGTCTGTGAGATATGCCCCAGGTGGTTTCAATTTCAAGCACTCTCTCTTCCAGAGATGGACTGATAGCCGTCTGGCCTGGGTGAGAGGCAACTACAGCGGCATCCCTATCGTACAGATCAAGTCTGATCTCCTGTGGACGCCTTGCCTCGTGGTAGACAACTCGTGAGTCTTCACCGACTGCTTTGGACGTGGCGTTCGGTTCTAACACCAATAGTTTATCCTTATGGAAATCTGGTGTAGATATTAGTTCCAGATAGTGGCGTAGCTAGGGGGTTGCGGAAAGCACCGGCTGACACCATCTCAGGGGTGACACCAAATTGCAAAAACTTCATATTTACAGAGCACACACTGCTCGATCTAACCAAATCTCATAAAAGGATAAACGACCACACGTAAATTTTCAACATATGTATCAAATCTAAATGCGTGCTTTATTGATTCTTAAGAAATGAGGGATGTGACATGACGTACGCTGTCTAGAGATCGGGCCCCTGCGTACTGCTACAGAACAATTTTCAAGGGTCTAGAACCCCTTTATTTCTAGCTCCTACAGAGCTGATGTGACTCTTGTTCCAAGTATCAAACAAACGATGCAGAGATTCCGGGTTTTCTTATTATTTGGCTACATATGCCTAACAGTGGAAAACTTCAAAAGAAATAATCTCTGGTGTTCAGAGTAAAAACGTGACCAGAAATGCTACACATACTATACAAAATATAATTACACCACTCCTAGCGATAATGTACTAAGTGTCACTCTCTCCACAAAACTAAAATCATACCCCTTATCCACAGCACTCGCCACTCTCCACTCGTGAAAAAAACTCCCCTCCTTTTCACACACTCCTCTCATCGCATGGTTCCTCCCGACATACCACCACGGTCACACATGACCGAGAAAAAACTCGTGGGGCACATGGGGAAAACCCCCACCAACGATTGGTCAATGAACATCATAAAGGCAGACACAGGAAAACTCACGCGATCTGACCGTGACAAAGGAATCCTATAATAATATCAGAAAAACACCGTTTTTAACCATGATTCAACGCCGATTGAAGTGTTCGTTAACTTTTGTAATTAACAGGAACCTATATTTATCTAAATTCTGTGAAATATTGCGTTCCATTGATACAAAATACGATGTGGTCGTATGCTTCTCAAGACATGAATTGAATCGGTAAAAATGAAAACATTAGAACATGACTTTTTGCCCATGTATAGGGTTACAAAATAATATTTTACACAAATGTTCTAGTATCTTTTAACAATTATTTAAAATTTAGTTAAGTTTAAACAAATGGATTTTGAAACCAAATATATCGAAACACAGAAATACTTAAAAAATAATATTTTTCGCCGATTCATCACTAGCATCACCCCTTAACATATGAGCACAATTTTCATACAGTACAAGATTTTTATATGTCTCTGATTTCTCGTTTTCTGCTAATTTTTTTCATTGGTCTGATTTACTTGAGGAAGTTAATCTTACACAGCAGTATCTGCAGACTAAAGGCTTTACTTTTGACAAAGTGGTGACCAACCTAGAGGCCTTGACATTGTTTCTGCACCAGAAGCACTGTCACTTGGTGGAACATGCTGTTCAAAAGGCACTTTTAAAATCAAACCTATATGGAATGTCGGTAGAGAGAAGATGAGGGTTTAAGAAGATAATGGCCGGAAAACTGTTTACGACCCATCATGGGACATTCACGACCTTCTTTTCTGGCTCTGCTATCAATTAAATGTGATACGGTGTATTATTTTGATTTTTTTATCGAGTGACAGGTTTGCAGATTTGCAGCCAAAGAAAGGAATATTTTAACTAAAGTAAATTTAATTGAAAAAAATAACAATAACTTGCTATGGTTACAGTTATTAGATACATTTATTTTCTGGCCTTCAATTAATTCGTTTTTGTTCACGTCGTTGTTATACTGAGGACTTATGCTAACACTAATACATTCTTCGTGGACGTCGGAGGGAGGTGATTGACACTATGAGTTTACCGCCCTACAAACCCTACCCACGCCAAAAAAAAAAAAAAAAAAAAAAAAAAAAAAAAAAAAAAAAAAAAAAAAAAAAAAAAAAAAAATAAACCCAAATAAATTGTGCCACATTAAGAGTAGCTGTAGCATCCGGTGAAGTACATTGATGAGTCGCTCATAAAACATCCATATTTTTTAAATAAAGTTACGATTGACGTGATGCATGTTCGTTCATTTCTTCCTTTAAAAAAAAATGCCAAATCCACCTTACAAAAATGTAACAGTTAATAACCAATCTTCTTTGAGTATTTATGGTGTAAGTTGAATATATTTTTTGCAGAAGCGAAACTTGCTTTTCTTTTAATCTGTAATTTAACTTCCGAAAAAAGCCGTATCTCTCCCTGAGCCTAGGAGTATAGATTCCCTGATAGTTGATTAACTTACAATGTTTGCAGTGTGGACGACCTAACTGCTATAGATGAGGACTCCATACCTTTGCGCGTGGACTCTAACGGTAGCGTGTCGTGGAACCCTCCAGGCCTGCTGACCGTGTCTTGCAACATGGACATAACCTACTTTCCGTGGGACAGTCACACCTGTGCTATACAGGTGACCAGCTTTGGCTACACGATACAGGTGAGAGGAAGAGAAATGGTTGAGGCATTCATTGTCCACACGCGTAAAGTGTTTCTTTCTGAAATTTTCCCCCAGGTGGGAGGGCACTTCAGATTTTTCGGGGCGGTGGGGGGGGGGCAGTGCCAGCACTTCCAGTTGATTTATTGTACGACATAATTTTGCTCCGGGGGGCACTTGGCTTTTTTGGGGGGCGCACTGCCCCCGAGATATAGCTGAAAGAAACCCTGCATGCGTGACCCTACGCAAAGGAGTTAAATCAGTGGGTCTCAACCTTCCTAATGCCGCAACCCTTTAATAGTTCCTCTTGTTGTGGTGACCCCTAACCAAAAAAATTATATTAGTCACTACTTCATAAATATATGTTTTCCGATGGTCTTAGGCGACCCCAACGTAAGGGTTGAAAACCGATGTGTTTAATTAAATAACTCAAAATGATTCATCTGCCGTGGCTATGTTCTATGACAAAGCTTTGTTTTTTATCTCTTAGCTCCCTGGGTTTAAAACAGTGTTCCCGATGATGAAGACTTATTCAACTTCTCAATTTTATAACTTAATTTAATGAATAAAAATAAAACAACTAGTACTTTCAGTGCTCTTGGTGAGACTGCTAGTGCTTTCAGTACTGTTGGTGGGACTTCCAATGCTTTCAGTACTGTGGGTTAGACTGCCAGTGCTTTCAGTGCTCTTGATGAGACTGCTAGTGCTTTCAGTACTGTTGGTGGGACTTCCAATGTTTCAGCACTGTGGGTTAGACTGCCAGTGCTTTCAATACTGTTAGCGAGACTGCCAGTGCTTTCAGTACTTTTGGAGGGACTTCCAATCATTCAGTACTGTTCGTGAGGCTTTCATTGTTTTCAGTACTGTGGGTGAGACTGCTAGTGTTTTCGGTACATATGTAGGCACTTCCTATTCATTCAGTATTGTTGTTGAGTCTGCAAGTGCTTTTAGAAAAGTTCGTCACATTGCTAATACTTCATACAAAATAGTATGATCTTTAGGCAGGCTAAATAAATTAATCTAAACTGTACTGTGTTGAGGATTAATTATAACCTAGTCTCACTTCATAGAATGTTTCTATTAATATCGTTGCTCCAGGAGTTGGACATTCGTGTGTACGGTGACGGTGTGGTCAAGACTTACTTCAGTCCTGATGGTGAGTGGGACGTCATAGACACCTGGACAGAGAGGACTATCTTTACAGAGGACGAATATCAATACTCCAAGGTAGAATAATAGTTATATAATGGGGATATATTCGTAAATCAACAATTTTAGAACCGTCCTTTCTAGAAAATAGTTCAAATTCATAAATTTTGCATTTATTATATTTGGAATACAGTAAATTGATTAAATCGGCAATAGAGTAAATCGATGTGAATTATTTATGTATGACATGGTATTATTTTTAATATTCTAAAATATAGACTTCATTAGACGATTGCTTCATACGATGCTAGCTTCATTAGACGATTGCTTCATACGATGCTAGCTTCATTAGACGATTGCTTCATACGATGCTAGCTTCATTAGACGATTGCTTCATACGATGCTAGCTTCATTAGACGATTGCTTCATACGATGCTAGCTTCATTAGACGATTGCTTCATACGATGCTAGCTTCATTAGACGATTTCCTCATACGATGCTAGTTGCATTAGACGATTGCTTCATACGATGCTAGCTTCATTAGACGATTGCTTCATACAATGCTAGCTTCATTAGACGATTGCTTCATACGATGCTAGCTTCATTAGACGATTGCTTCATACGATGCTAGCTTCATTAGACGATTGCTTCATACGATGCTAGCTTCATTAGACGATTGCCTCATACGATGCTAGCTTCATTAGACGATTGCTTCATACGATGCTAGCTTCATTAGAAGATTGCTTCATACGATGGTAGCTTCATTAGACGATTGCTTCATACGATGCTAGCTTCATTAGGCGATTGCTTCATACCATGCTAGCTTCATTAGACGATTGCCTCATACGATGCTAGCTTCATTAGACGATTGCTTCATACGATGCTAGCTTCATTAGACGATTCCTTCATACGATGCTAGCTTCATTAGGCGATTGCTTCATACGATGCTAGATTCATTGGACAATTGCTTCATACGATGCTAGCTTCATTAGATTATTTATTTCTTAAATGATGCTTTCTTAAACCGCCCTCCATTTTGATTTATATAACTTCCGGTCTGCTCTAAGTTTGGTTTTGATTGTATTCTCCGTTGTGTTTATTGTTTTTACCGACGAAGGCTTTTAGTCGAAACGTCCTTGCCGCTATCTTTTGTCTTTATTAAGGCGTTCCACATACCAATGACCTATTTTATTGCTTTTATTCCCCAGGTTTCCTATAACTTCAAGCTGACCCGGCGACCTTTGTTCTACGGCCTCAACTACCTCCTCCCCGTCATTATCTCGTCGTTCCTCACCATGTTCGTCTTCCTCCTCCCGGCAGACAGCGGCGAGAAAATCGGCTACTGTCTGACCGTGCTCCTGGGCTACATGGTCATACTGACCCTCATCGCCACGGATCTGCCGACCACAGCACAGTACACGTCCATATTAGGTAAGTTGATACAATGGTCAAGCTTGTTACATGGAGTGCAAGTACCACACTTCCTGTCTGTATTTGGTAACTTCAGGAAGTGTGGCTTGTGATGTCTAATGTAGTGTATCACATTTGAAGTCTATATTCGGTGACTTCAGGCTTTGTATGGCTAGCTTACGATGTCTTCACATGCAGTTTAAGTATCACATTTGAAGTCTATGTTAGGTAGCTTTAGGCTATGTATGGATAGCTTGTGATGTTTTCACATGTAGTGTATCCCATTTGAAGTCTATATTTGGTGACATCAGGCTGTGTATGGCTAGCTTTCGATGTCTTTACAGGCAGTTTAAGTGTAATATTTGAAGTCTATGTTGGGTAACATCAGGCTATGTATGGATAGCTTGTGATTTTATTTAAATATAAATTGAAATACCACATTTCCCGTCTAAATTAATTAAATATATTGAATGGGAGGTGCAGTGCCCGAGTTGATGGTGTTGCATCTAGAGTAAGTTCCAAACGAGGGTACAACATTTCTTCTCTAAACTGCAATAATGAGTAACTACACAATTCTAGACAATATCTACAAATACACCTCATTCAATAAAATCATAATTTTTCATTATACCATTACATCATATCATCACATTGTATCAACATACCATCACATCATATCATCACATTGTATCAACATACCATCACATCATATGATCACATTGTATCAACATACCATCACATCATATCATCACATTGTATCAACATACCATCACATCATATCATCACATTGTATCAACGTACCATCACATCATATCATCACATTGTATCAACATATCATCACATCATATCATCACATCACATTATCACATCCTATTATACCATCCCATCATATAATATCATCACATCACATCATCATATCATATCATCCCATCACACAGTAACATTATATCATAAAAACACATCATCACATTGTATTAACATATCATTACATCCCATCATCACATCATTATGAACATATCTGATCTTAAAACAACTTAGCCTTGTCTTGTTCATACAGAACTGTACATCGCTGTTGTGCTCATCATGGGCGGCCTCTCTGTCATACTCTCAATATTTGTCCTGGAAATTTTCTTCCGCCCCGACGACTTGCCCATTCCAAACTATGTAAGAAAGCTCACATTTTTTGGGATGCGCCTCTGCTGCTACGAGGGCTGCTGTGCCCGAAAAGTAGGACCGGCAGATCAAGGCGGTGCAGATGTCAAGGACACAGGTCAGTGAAGAAACACTCATGGCTCATGTGCTATCAGTGTTATATAATAACCCTTTTTTGTATTCAAATTTAAGTGCTCATTAAGAGTCTATTAAGATATAACTCGAAAAACAGTAATTATTTAATTATTATTTATTCAGGAAAAATAATTTAAATTGCTTTAACATTTTATTATGTTAAAAATTTACTTAAAATATGTTTTCAATTTAAAAAAAAAACAAAATGAACTCAACAAAACTGATTATTTTGTCTTTTTGGATGAATTTTTTAAATATGACTTCAAACATAAAATTAGTTGTTCCATTTCTTTAAGTTCCCAGGCTAATCTTAAGGCTTTACAAAAGTAGCTTCTTCTTCTATTAATGTATATAACATAACTGAAACACTTAAGGACATTTATATCATAGATGGCACATAAAACATTTCGTTCCACTGCAGAACTGATGACCACGGTCACTCCCACTCACTGATACTAAGATGACTTCTGACCACGGTCACTCCCAATAACTGATACTAAGATGACTTTTGACCACGGTCACTCCCACTCACTGATATTAAGATGACTTCTGGCCACGGTCACTCCCACTAACTGATACTAAGATGACTTCTGACCACGGTTACTCCCACTAACTAATACTAAGATGACTTCTGACCACGGTCACTCCCACTAACTGATACTAAGATGACTTCTGGCCACGGTCACTCCAACTAACTGATACTAAGATGACTTCTGACCACGGTTACTCCCACTAACTGATACTAAGATGACTTCTGACCACGGTCCCTCCCACTAACTGATACTAAGATGACTTCTGACCACGGTCACTCACATTTACTGACAATAGGATGACTTCTAATATTCTCTTTGTAAATCTCTTCAGTCCTAAATGATATGACATCGTCTAGTAAAGACAAAGATGCTATGGAAAATTATTTCTCGAGACTTCACGACCCGCTCGGTATTTGCTTTTATAAACAAGTAGTCATTAGTTTAGTATCTTTAGCTAGAATGTAGAACATTTGATCTACTAGACATTAGTTTAGTATATGTAGCTAGAATCTAGAACATTTGATCAACTAGTCATTAGTTTGCGACAGCAATGCGTGAACTTCCCATCCACTAAAGTTACTTGACAAAAACGTGAACTCAACTTACGCACATTTATGAATGCCAATTTAGCTACACCCCTTCCTTCCCCCCTTTTCATGATACGTCACGGCGGTGGGCGCCTGCAGAAAACTTTCTAGTGGGGGGGGGGGGAAATCGATTAATTTTCCAGGGGGGGGGGGCAATTTTTTTTACACCCCTTCCTTCCCCCCTTTTCATGATACGTCACGGCGGTGGGCGCCTGCAGAAAACTTTCTAGTGGGGGGGGGGGAAATCGATTAACTTTCCAGGGGGGGGGGCAAATTTTTTTTAGTAATGTTTTAATACAGTTTTAATTTAGTGTAGCGTATTTGTATGGTGAACGAACGGACAGGACATTAGCTTAGTTACTTTCTCTTAGATTTCTCTTTACTTTAATAAATGTTTTGTCTATTTTTGTCTAAACAATTTTTATCCAATCAATCAAGGGGGGGGGGGGCAAGTGCCCCCCTGCCACTTCCTGCGGGTGCCCATGGTCACGGCACACTTTTTATTTCACGCCGACCCGCGGCTTAGCAAACGCCGCGAGCTGGCTGGCAAGCGAGGGTGGTGCAGGAAGAGGGGGCCGGTAGCTCCACCGCAGTGCGTATGTCTCCAGACCAACGATGGGCAGGCAAGGCAAGGGGGGAGGGTTGCCTGCTTCTTGCTTGCCCTCCTTTCCATTTTTTTTAACATCCCCGTCTTTGGGCAATGGCCTTAAACTCGTAACTCTAACTTAATGGACAATTCTACGCGCTAAAGTCCAGCTACTACACAACACTATGTGCAACTCAATTAACAGTGGAGACATGCTGTAGAATGTTCTAGATTAATACTAGGACAAAGCCCCTAATATTTAGACAAAAGCCGTATTATGGAAGAAATGAAATTTGTCTATATCAGCCTTTCAACAGATTCCACTTGTCAGTTTTTTTTTTGTTTACATTATTTTTTTATTTTTAGTTTTATCATACCAGATTTAGATAGCCAAATTAAGTCTTTAAGAATTATAAGCTAGTTATACAGACTCTTTTTATAATGAGCAGCTTTTTATTTTGAAAAAAAATTTGATTACGTATATTCCAGATGTCAGTTTTAGTGTTATTTCCAATTTCGCGTCTTGTATTGCTTTGAAACTAAAACTATATCAAAGGAATATTTAAAAAAAAAAAATTCATTCGTAAAAGCTTATGTAAAGAAAAGGTTAAACAGCAATTTTATATAAAAAAAAAAATAAAAAATAAATTAAAAAATAAAATTTATATTACTTCATCTGGTTCAAATGTATCTAGCACGAATGTATCTGGTACAAATGTATCTGGTACAAGTGTATGACGCGTGCTTTAAAATAACAATGAATGCTGCGGAGCGTCGAGTTCTCGAACTTATTGGAACTGGGGATGGTTTGGATGACATAATATGTTTTCAAATAACTGAAAGCTCCCAAGAAAATTTTTAGTAAAGAAGTTAGTGAAGAGAAGATAGTATGAGCTACATTATATTTTTACACAGACGTTGAGGATTGAAAGTTTTTTTTTCTTCTTTTATTAAGGTTATTTCCAAAACAAAAAAATTATAAATAAAAATGGAAAAATGACTGGTGCTTCGAGTAAAATCAGAGATTCGTTTATCTTTGAGGGCGTTTCTTCTGCTGTAAATGATAATCAACAAGTTTGTAGATCGCATTTTGCCAGTGTGGTCAACGCATGTACTGAAGATGTCTAGGTTGTTTTGTTTTTTTGGATTGTGCGGCAGGGATTGAGGCTGATTTCCAGTTTGCTACACACCACTGGTGCATTCCAAGCGCATTGCAATTGCGCGCGATGCAAATTATCTTGAAAATATAAATAAGGGGCACTTCGACTAAACGATCATTTGCGTTCATAAAATTAACGTTGTGAATTAATTGAAATTACTCAAGCTAAAATGTCACTAAACCTGCATATTACAATGCGGCGTCCGATAATGATTGGCCAATAGAAAAATACCACATAAAACTTTTAGTATAGCCCTTTTGTTTATCTTAGCCCAATATATAAACTTTTTGGACTCCCCACAGGTTCTGAATCTAGCAGCCTTGAGAAAAACCATGATTTCGACCGTGGGATGCTAGTGAAATCAACTTGGTCACGTGAGAAGAGCTTCATGGGGCTCCGACCGGCCACCGTCCAATCAACACGCGAGGAGCAGTCACGTGGGTTGGAGATAACCTGGAAGACCGTCTCCATGGTGCTGGACGGGGTTCTGCTGAGATTCTACTGCCTGTTTCTGGTCGTGTCCAGCTGTGTGTTTCTCTCAATCTTAATCACAAATTCCTGAGGGCCCAGAAATTTACGAACTATGCAGCGGCAATGAATAAAAATAGAACTAAATTTCTTAATGTATATATATACACATGGGACACAATGGTTGAATTTTTGTTTAATTTTAACATTTATTTCATATTTATTGGACTTTTTCTTTTATGATTATTTCATTTAAAAAAATGCATTCTCATGCCTAGTAATAGAAATTTATATGGGAAAGAAAAATGTTTTTAAACGATATTTTATTTAAAAACTGCATTTGATTTTACGGAACCCCGTAGGCTAAGGTCACAACAGGATGAAAGAGCTCTACAGGGAAGGGAGATTATTTCTATTACACTACATAGTTCATTCAAATCTGACCAATAAACCCCCACCCCACAACACTCTAGAAAATCTGTTTCATGAAAATATTGGCCAACGTGCTCACGGTCTAATTTGTTGAAACCATCACGGTTTGGAATGCTGTACACATTGCATTGTGTTATTGCTGATGAAGGCTGTGTATGGTATTGTGTTATTTCTGATGAAGACTGTGTATGGTATTGTGTTATTTCTGATGAAGGCTGTGTATGGTATTGTGTTATTTCTGATGAAGACTGTGTATGGTATTGTGCTATTTCTGATGAAGGCTGTGTATGGTATTGTGTTATTTCTGATGAAGGCTGTGTATGGTATTGTGTTATTTCTGATGAAGACTGTGTATGGTATTGTGCTATTTCTGATGAAGGCTGTGTATGGTATTGTGTTATTGCTGATGAAGACTGTGTATGGTATTGTGTTATTTCTGATGAAGACTGTGTATGGTATTGTGTTATTTCTGATGAAGGCTGTGTATGGTATTGTGTTATTTCTGATGAAGGCTGTGTATGGTATTGTGTTATTTCTGATGAAGACTGTGTATGGTATTGTGTTATTTCTGATGAAGACTGTGTATGGTATTGTGCTATTTCTGATGAAGGCTGTGTATGGTATTGTGTTATTTCTGATGAAGGCTGTGTATGGTATTGTGTTATTTCTGATGAAGGCTGTGTATATGACATAGTGTTATTGTTTATATGAATATCTTTACTTTGTATAGTGTTTAATCAGATGCATATTGTATGGGTGTATACAATTATTAAGTGAAATGTATACAAAACGTTCCATTCAAAATGTTTAGAGGATAAATCAATACATCTCAAGTTAGGTGATAGGCCTTTACCTGTCTCTGTCCCCCCCTCATCTTTCTCTGTCCCTCTCACCTGTCTCTGCCTCCCCTCACCTGTCTCTGTCACCCCACCTGTCTCTGTCCCCCCTCACCTGTCTCTGTCCCCCCTAACCTGTCTCTGCCCCCCCTCACTTGTCTCTGTCCCCCCTCACTTGTCTCTGTCCCCACTCACTTTCTCTGCCCCCCACCTGTCTCTGCCTCCACTCACCTGTCTCTGTCCTCCCACCTGTCTATGTACTCCCCTCATCTGTCTCTGCCTCCACTCACCTGTCTCTGTCCCCCCACCTGTCTATGATCTCTGTCCCCCCTGTCCTCTCTCTGCCCCCCCTCACTTGTCTCTGTCCCCCCTCACTTGTCTCTGTCCCCACTCACTTTCTCTGCCCCCCACCTGTCTCTGCCTCCCCTCACCTGTCTCTGTCCTCCCACCTGTCTATGTACTCCCCTCATCTGTCTCTGCCTCCACTCACCTGTCTCTGTCCCCCCACCTGTCTATGTACTCCCCTCATCTGTCTCTGTCCCACTCACCAGTCTTTGTCTGCCTCACCTTTCTCTGTCCTCCCTCATCTGTCTCTGTCCCCCTTCACCTGTCTCTGTTACCCCTCATCTGTCTCTGTCACCCCTCATCTGTCTCTGTCCCCCCTCACCTGTCTCTGTCTCGCATTACCTCTCACAGCCCCCCCCTTCCCTTTTGTGTTTGTTTTGTTTCATTCTCAGGGTACCAGTGGCAGCAAAAGGAAAGGGACATGGGGGTTTTGTTTTCACCATTGCAATGATTCCAGAGAGGTGCCAGGTCACTCAATCATTTGAGCTTACCTCAAGATACAATTTACACAAATGAAATGCCCTCAAAGGGAATAATCGTTTTTGTGTTAATATTTTCTATTAATTTTTTTTCAAAATTCGAGAGTCCTTGTTTTTCATCATCAGTCTTGTCAAGATGGATCCTTATTTGTGAGTGCGGTTGAGTGTGAGTGAGTGTGAGTGAGTGTGAGTGAGTGTGAGTGTGAGTGAGTGTGTGTGAGTGAGTGTGTGTGAGTGAGTGTGAGTGAGTGTGAGTGAGTGTGAGTGAGTGTGCGTGTGAGTGAGTGTGAGTGAGTGAGTGTGAGTGAGTGTGCGTGTGAGTGAGTGTGAGTGAGTGTGAGTGAGTGAGTGTGTGTGAGTGAGTGTGAGTGAGTGTGAGTGAGTGTGAGTGAGTGTG